GATAATTTTAGTTCCCTACAGCTGAAGACACGATTTCGCAGTCTGCCCAAGGCGTGAGATGCACATCTAATCTGATGCTGAATTTCTTCATCGATGTCTGGTGGTGGACAGGTGGGAGTCGAGATACCAAAAGTGGGCAACATTAGGGAGTGTAGTACCGTTAAGCTGGATGGATGATGGAGGTGTCTGAACCAGAGGCAGGTTGAAAGAGAATCTGAGTTTTACGTACATTCACCTCAAGGCCGAAGTGTGCATACGTGTCTGCTTAAGTGTTCAGGATCTCCTGTAGGTCGTGTTCAGTGTGAGCAACAAGGGTGAGGTCGTCTGCATACTGAAGTTCAGTAATGGAAGCTGCCAACACCTTCGTTCTTGCCTGGAGTCGTCCTACAATATGTTGAAAAGACCCCCGTTACCCAGTACTCGATGTTCACACCGGTGGCTAAATTGGCACTGGCACGAGTAAGGAAGGCAGCCAAGAAGATGGAAAAGAGACTTCGTGCCAGTGCACACCCTCGTTTAACCCCTGTTTGGATGGGGAAGAACTGGGTGCCGTTGTGCAGGACACTGCCGTTCATGCCATCGTGGAGTTGCCTCACAAAGGTGATGAATTTTGGTGGGTAGCCAAAACGGCTGAGTCACCAGAGGGCTTCCCTGTTGACCGAGTTGAAGGCCTTGGTTAGCTCGATGAAAACCATGTACAGGTCACGACGCTGTTCTCTGCACTTTTCCTGTATCTGGCGGGCAGCATAGATCATGTCAGTGGTGCCACGTGATGGTCTAAAACCTAATTGAGATTCTGGGAGGAAGTTTTCCCGCCTGAGGAAGAAGTCTGTTTAGGAGGACTTGGGCGATAATCTTGCCAGCTACGGAGAGCAGCGAGATCCCACGATAGTTAACACAGTCTGACCAGTCCCCCTTGTTCTTTTAAATATTGACAATGGAGGCATCTTTAAGAGCTTGGGGGATTTCCTCCTTTTCCCATATATTCTCCAGGAGAGAGTGGAGACGGATGATAAGCAGAGGTTCTACTGCTTTATGCACCTTGGCTGGGATTCCATCAGGCCCTGAGGCTTTGTTATTTTTCATCTGTTTGATGGCAGTAGCTACCTCATCCAGGGATGGAGGATAGTTGAGGTGGGTCAGCTCTAGATGCTGAGGGACCTGCTGGGTAGTCAGGACATCTACGTCAATGTTTCGGTTGTGCAATGAATGGTAGTGCTTTTTCCAGCTGTGAAGGAGGCCTTCGTCGTCTTTCATTATTTGGTTACCATCAGATGAGCGCAGGGAGGCTTTGCCATAAGTGACTGGCCCATAAAATGTTTTAGTGGAAATGAAAAATTCGTGCATCTTGTGCTAATCTGCAAGTTTTTGTGTTACACATGCTTTATTTTTAAGCCAGTCATTCTTTAGATTGCGAAGTTCCAGCTGGGCTGCCGCTTTCTTCTTGCGGAAGGTATCAGCTTTGGTCTGAGACTGAGGGTTGTTCTGCCAGTCAGTAAAAGCAGCACGTTGTAAATCGATGTGTACTTTGATTGCCTCATCATTTTCATCAAACCAGTCGTGGTTATTTATTTTGAACTGGCCGAGGGTCTCTCTGCAGGTCTTTGTCATAACAGTATTAAGAGTATCCCATTCGGCACTGGGATTCACGTTGTTTGCTTTTGGGCTGTTTATAAGCCGATGTTTGAGCTGCTCTCTGAAAGTATGTGCTTCCGCTGGATCCTCCAGTATTGAAACCTCTTCTGGAGGCTTGCTGCCTTTGCCGTTTTGGGGCAACGTGAAGTGAGCTTGGATTTGATGAGTCGATGATCAGTGTCACAGTGGTCTGAGCCACGCATGGCGCGGGTGATGAGCACATCTCAGCGATCTCTTTCTCTGACAATGATGTAGTCAATGAGATGCCAGTGTTTCGATCGTGGATGTTGCCACGAACCATTGAACTTGTCGGCCTGCCTAAACAAGGTATTGGTGACAGTGGGGTCGTGTGCAGCACACTTGCTGATGAGAAGTAGGCCGTTGGGATTACACTTGCCTAGTCTATTTCTCTCAATGGTTCCCTACCAAATGTTAGCATCTCTGCCAATTCTGGCATTGAAGTCACCAAGGAGCACAACCTTGTCTTCTTTAGGGATAGAGGTTAGCACTCTGTCGAGGTCGGCATAAAAGGCCTCCTTGATGTCATCCTCTGCATCCAGTGTTGGGGCTTAAGCACTGATGAAGAAGGCATGATGTGAATGATACAGTGGGACTCGGAGCGTCATGAGGCGCTTGTTGATCCCAATAGGCATTTCAGTTAGCCTGTGTAGGATGCATTGGCAGATGACAAAGCCAACTCCATAAATGCTGTTTCCCTCCGCAGCAGGCTTACCCTTCCAGAAGAAGGTGTAGCCAGACCCCCGTTCTGTGAGTTGGCCCTCATCTGGGAGCCGGGACTCACTGATGGCTGTCGGTGTTATACCTAGCCAGCTCTTTTGCCACAAGGGCAGTTCTTCTTTCAGGATGCACATTTGTGCCAGTATCCAGAAGGGTCCTGACATTCCATGCAGCGACCATAAGAGTTGTATAGTTTGTTTTTGTTTGGACCTGTGATTTTGATGGTGTTTTTGGCCGCATAAGGATGACCTTACTGGGTGCGGTTGCCCAGTCAGGTTGGGTTTTTAGGCAGGCTATGTTAAAGCACCTTTTCTAGCCCCCTCCCTGTGTGGGGTGAGCACAGTGGCTCCTCGTAAGGGCTGCTCAGTTGCACAGACAGGACCGGGTTGCACTACTGCCTAGATCCCAGTGCATAAACGACCATCTTATCTGCGTTGCCCATGTGCAGAGTTGTGACTAGAGACTCCCGGCAGTCATCTGTGCCTGTCTCCGTCGCCATAGGACTTTTGGGGTTATAGGGGTTTTGATGATAATGAGAGGTATGATGAGCTGGATGATGGCTGTACATGAGTTGATTTATGTGGTGAGGCAGGAGCGCAGGCTGCAACCACACATCTTGGCTCTCCCTTTTCCTGATCCAGTGGTGCAAGTGTTGCAATGACTGGGGAGAGGGAGATTTTCAATGGACTGCTGATAGCCCAGATTTTTGGGTTTTGCCTTTGTAGCCTGTCCATCAGGCATTGCCTTCATCCGCTGATGTAGTTGTTGGGTTCCCATGGTGGTCACCTCTTCCACCTACACCGCCATTGGGGTCTGGTTGGAGGTCTGTAAGCATGTCTGCCTGATGCGGCGCTCCACCGCAGATTTTTCGTTTGGGGTTTACTCCTGTAGCCTTATACCTGCCAAGTTGCTTCCTTGTTTGCCACGAGGGCTAGCCAGTGGCGGCAGCTGAAAGCGAGAGGGAGCAAGAAGTGTTTGCACCTTAACACTAACATAATGCTGCCACACTAGACTCCTTTCACCACCCTGTGTATTGTGTGCACACAACACACACACATAGTACACATAAATAATAATTGGAAAATACTCTCACAAATAAGAAACAAATTTCTTAAAAATGTGATAGTCTCCCCTTAAGTCCGTGCCCTATTACTAATATTATTTATTTATATGTGTTTTATGTGTGTGTCTACACACACACATTTACAATAAAAGTAAATTAATTTACTCTCTCTAGAACAAATGGCTTTCTGTCCCAGCTGCAAAAATGCCGGTAACTTTAAAACTATCCACAGACATTCTTGGGTACATCCAGGGTGTCATCCGCGAATAACCGAGAACCGCAAAGTAAAAATCCGCGAATTTGGGGGGCTTACATGTGCCTTGTGTCCTGTGTGTAGTGAAAAGATTGACAAATGGTAAATCACTATTTTTTTTTTAATTATTATTACAGTGGTCCCTCGGTTAACGAACGGTTCGATTAACGAAATTTCGGTTAACGAATTTGCTCCCATAGGAATTTTCAGTTCGATTAACGAACAAAACTTCGATTAACGAAAGCCTTACGAGAAACACGTTTTGTTGTGCACATCAGCTGATCGGCTAGTCCACCAATACAGTAATTGGTTTTATGTTTAAATTCGTTTCCAGTGACGTAAATGTCAAGAAGGTTGTGCTCTTTAATATTTTTGCATTTTTTATATTAAAATTATTTGTCATTCTAAAATTTAGTTAACATATTGATAGTATAGACAGTACAGGGAACAGTTTTTGTGCGCCCATCAGCTGATTGAATCGCCCAACAATGCTTCTCAGTTTAACTTTGTTTACAGTGGAGTGAACATCAAGTTTGGTCTCTTGAATATTTTTGCATTTTTTACATTAAAATTATTGGTCGTCATTCTGAAATTTAGTTAACATATTGATAATATACAGTGCAGAAATTATTATGAAACACGAAGAAGGCATTAGAATCAATGCACTCTGTAAAGAATATGGCATGTCATCATCGACTGCCTCTACAATCAGCTGTTTGATATGTAAACAAAGCTGCAGGGAATACGACATACACACCTCAAAGTAAGTTAAAATACAGAATTCTTTTGTTTTTTACTTATTATTATACAGAATACTGTACAGTACAGTACTGTATTTAGTTTATATTTAATGTTTTGTTAATTCTATTACTGGTATACAGTACTTTGTATATACTTTTTCTGTGAGTTGGAACCAATTACCCAATATCCCATTGAAATAATAGATTCGGTTAACGAAATTTTCGGTTAAAAATCGAGGGACCACTGTATTTTTATTTATTCCTCTCATTTACTGGTACTTAATATATATTATTTTAAGTACTAAGGATAGCTCCTTTTTAGGAGAGCATCATAAGCAAGGGGATAGACAAAATCACATGTATATCAATATCATGCCAAGCATAACTTACTTTCACCAATATTGTGCTGTGCTGTCATACTAGTGAAACACTTACAGTTGTTGAACCAGTCCCCTTACCCTACAATTTGCTTTTCATTTTTCCAAATTATTGTCTATGTAAATTTTAAGCTGTGGACCTTTATCAGACTTGAAAAAATTGATGTTAAATTTATAATATCACACCATTTCAGCAGCACCTGCTCCCACTCAAGTAACTCGACAAGTGAAGCGATTTGGTCCCAAGAAGCGATATGGTTCAGGGAATAAGTCGGGAATTAATGGAACATCACCATGCTCTGGGTTATCTAGTAGTGATGGCGTCAGCATCAATATTGAAGATTGCTGTCAGATGACTATGTGTGAAACTGTAAGTCTTTAAATACTTCATTACTTTAGATAAGAATATTATGTGAGAGAATTATTTGTTTAAAGAAATGAGAAATGGTAGTTCATTTGCATTTTGTTGGAACTTTCTTGGAATTTTTTTCTGGAAAATGGGCCTGTTTTTCATCCTCGGAAACTTGTTCGTAGACCCGGAAGGGAGACTTTTCCCAGAATTTTTCCATCCCAATTTCAATTCTGACTATTGAGAGTTCCAAGGCTTGGGGATTCTGGTTAACGGGAAGATGACTATATTACCGGATTGTATTATAATTTTTAATTTGCGAATAAGCGGGGTATGCTTTGTGAATGTCGAATAGGGGTGTTAAAATATCAATTGTGGATAAGCGGGTTTGCAAATAATGAGGTATTCCTGTACGTCATTTGTTTCGCATATATGTTGTCTGTATCATCCACTACCTGTATTGTATAATAAATCTGTTTGTATCAGAATATGATGCATAAATAGTGTTAAAAACTTCTACTATAATATTAAATAACTAGAATAAGTACAGGTTGACCACATAATTTCCAGCAGTCGATGATCCGGACAAATTAGGGTGATGGAATTTCAAATTAATCGCACATCTCTTACTGTAGTTTGAATTATTTTTCAACCTGGAATTTTGGCTAGTTATACTGAACAGGGCGTCCTCGCTTAACTTCGGGGTTACGTTCCTGAAAACGTGACGTTAAGCGAATCAATTTTCCCCTTAAGAAATAGATAAAATACGGGAGTTACGTTTCTGAGCCTCCCTTTGTTCCATGAAAAAGGTTACATATACAGAAAATCATTGCCATTTCTATAGAAAATAGTAGACAAAGTATAGAACTACAGTACAGTCTCTCCTCAACTTACAACGGGGTTCCGGACCAACGACCAGGTCGTAAGTCGAAAATCGTGGGTCGAACTATAAACGAGGAGTATCATAAATTAACGATTTCTTGGTCAAAAAATCAGGGTCGACCTATAAACGAGGGGGGGTTATAGACGAGCATATACTATATACGGTATAGAGTGGGGTATGCTATAACGAACGGATCCTACTACGAATATTCCTAAAACGAACGGTTTTACCTATAAAATTGAGAATGCTATAACGAACGAAACTCCTACAACGAACATTATTTAATTTTTTTTTTTTCTAATTTATTGTTTTTTTATTACAAATATTAATGATATTCTTCATTTCAGGGGTTTAGATGCATATTTATGCACTTTTTTACAATTTTATATTATATTTTTCAGTGTTAAGTGGTTGTATTTGGGGGCCTGGAACGGATTAATCCTATAACGAACGAATGCTATAACGAACAAGGTTCTAGAACCAATTAGATTCGTTATAGCATACCCCACTGTATATATATATAGGACTCACAGTATTACTGCATAATACCAAGACACTTATAACACATCACTCTTTCTTAATAAGGGAGGGATGAATTAGGACTCTTATTGACAGTTACAGTGAACCCTCACTTTACGCGGTTAATTCAACCCTCGGCGGCCCGCGTAAAGTGAGAAACGCATAAAGTGAACAACATAACTTATGGGATTAATTGAAATAGAGACCGGGCCGACCCCCAAACTCCACTTTTTCAGACACAATACCTACGTTGTAGTAAAAATAACTTCTTAATTTTATGATGGTATGCACACACAATTAATAATTAAGAGAAATATCAATAATATTAGGTTTTTTAACACTTACATTAGTAGAAAAGATGGCTGGGCACACGGGGATGGGGGGTTGGTTCCGAGGCAGAGGGCAGATTATTGGCCCTCACCTGTATCACTTGTATCACTATCCACCACAGAGGCTTGCAGGGCCTCTTTGTCAAACCCCTCAAAGTCCATATAAGTTCATATCCTCACTATCATTATCACTATCACTTACTTGGGCTGGCTGTGGTGGGTGGCGGGTGAAGAACTCGGTAATGTTTTGATGACTGGGCGACCTTGTGCGCACCCTGCTCGCGCCGCTCTCCGCATAAAAGGGTACACACACCGCGGAAAGTGAGCATTCCGGTTTCAGCAGGGTACCACGTAAACGTGGAAACGCGTAAAGTGGGACCGCTTAAAACGAGGGTTGACTGTACTGTATTTATTGGATTAAGGTTTAACAGCTACACTTCAAAATATTAAACCTATGTTCCTAGCTAGTTAAACGGGGACCACGTATCTCACAACAAATGGGGGCATAAGGATTTACCAAATAGAATATACCAAAATACCTGCCACCACCGACATCCCACACCTCCCTACACAGACTGCTATTCAAACCGAGTGAGCCCACAAGGAACGCCAAAACTTCCATGACGTCACGCCTCATAGGCTTTCTCATTGGTTGAAGACAGGCCTAAGGCTTTCATACTATTGGCTTAAAATTGGCGGGAACTCTCAAGTGGCGGGAAACTCATGACATTGTTACATGGGGGTTAGACCAAGCACAGCGGCTATGTCCACAGCACGTTCCCCTTTTTCAAATCGGGTTAATACATCCATTTTCGTAGCAAGGGTAATGGTCTTGCATTGCCTCTTCACTACACTAGCATCAGTAACACTTGATGGGCGCTTGGAAGCCATTTCGAATGGTTAGAGTACAGTTTTAGAGCAAAAACACTTGAGCACACATGAATGATGTGAAGTCGTAACAGAGACTGGCTTGGCGTCGCTTGGGGATGCTGTGACGTTCCGTGAGTGAGGGCAGCGCACCGAGCCGAGAGAGCTTAGCGTTGCCAGGCAAGAGCAGATGTTGCTCGGCAAAAAGTAGTCTGTAACGACACAAAACGACTGTGTTTTATTTATTTAATTATTTACTTTTTACTCAGTTATATGCACACATAATCCTATATAGATATTGTGATAAAAAAGTAAAAGAAATCATTCTCATAAGGTCAAAACATAAAGGGAATAAACATTTCTTCAGTCTGCAGGTATAGCACACAGAGTCAGGGAGCAGCATGGAGGATCTTAGCTGCTGGTTGTTTCCTGTGTCCCTGTGTAATGAAACGATTGCCAAATGGCAATGCAGTACAGCAGTTTTACTTTTAGAGGGGGTCCTCGTTTTCCAAGGCTATCAGGGAGTGTGCTACTGTATACAGTAGCTATATTATCTCTTAAGAGTTGGTAACCGGCAGGATTCTTTTGTTTTATATATTATTATTTTTATTCATTCCTCATATTTACTGGCACAGTATACACGCTACACAGTTCAGGCTGGCAATCACCAAGCTGACTCAAGAGATGTATCTGGCTGCTTTCTGTATGCCGTAATGTCACACACACACACACACACACACACAAAGCCCCAGTTATTATTTATTATCTGTATATCATTAATATTTCTACTGATTAATTTATTTTTCCACAGCCATGCTATACCAGTATGAAACGAGAAGGAAAAGGGTACAAGATATCTGAAAACCATCTCATCAGATGTGAAGATAAAAAGGGCCTCTTAGATGATTGTGGAGACATCTGAAATTTATAGATGTTTTAAAATTGAGAATTCACAGTGGAAATGAGTCCACTGTGCTGGTACACAAATGGAAACTTAATTGAAAGGTTATTTCAGGTGAGTTGTGTACAGATCAAAGGCTGTGATATTACCTTGACTCTGGTCAGGGTTCTGCAAAGATGTACATGGTTATGGTGGTCAGAGTATGTTGTTCATTTGTTAAGTTCATTGTTGTGCATAGCATTATTTTTTATTTCATATTTCATTGGTAATTGTTGGAACAGATATGCAAGTGAAACCATTTCTGAATATGTTGAGTATCTTTAACTGATCATAGTAGCAGGTACTTCTCCATAATACCCAATACTATACCCAGTGAACTACAGTACAGCATCTCTCCTGTCAGTTGTAAAATACAGGGTACTGATAAAAATTAACTACAGTACAGTATATTAAAGGAGACAAATTACTAGGCAAAACAGTGCAGTGTGTATATATATATATATATATATATATATATATATATATATATATATATATATATATATATATATATATATATATATATATATATATATATATATATATATATATATATATATATATATATATATATATATATTCCATTTGCTCAGTAATGCCTCCTTTTTCCATAGAAACACCTTACTATCGCAACTTAAGTATTTTCATCTGGCTAGCTCTAGACGATCACACACTTAGCTGAGTAAAATCAGTCGGTATTGTCAGAGTTACTCTGCATTGTAATCTCTCAACTGATATACACTTTCCCTCTTCACCTCTAGTAACACATCCCCCACCCCACGCACACATACTTGCACACCTCCACTCTCCCTCCTGCTCACTAGCGAATGCTTCGAATTTACACTTCAGAGTTCGGGGTTCACACCCCATTTAAAGAGAGCACTGGCAATGCTAAGTGATAAATGCAGGAGTGGAGCCAACTGTATGTGCACAGTACAGTAGAACCTCGATAAATTGGACTAATTGGGGCAGACCCCAGTCCAAAAAAAGTGAATATATGGGGTGGGGGGGATTTTTATTTGTATTTTTTGGTATTTCTGGTGACCAGAACATCTCAAGAGTCTGAAAAAAGCGAATTCCGATATATTTAACTCCGATTTATCGAGGTTTTACGGTAGTACTATATTTGGAAGCTTCATCTCCTAATTGCTACTATCCTCACCCTGGTCAAAGAGGTTTAATAAAATACAGTAGCCTCACATAGGCATCATCTTAAGTTTTACTGACACACCTTACTTCATTTGATTAAGCGCTTCAATTTTCATAATAATTGGCACATACAGTATACTGTAATTCTAAATGATTTTCATTCATGATGGATACTGTACTTAAAAATGTGATGGTTAACAGAAAATGTAAGATTTATTGTTGAACAAAAAGACAGACATTGTTAAAATCCAACTGTGTTGCTTTACTTTTCGTGCTAGATGGCATGTAGTTCATTTTCCTTCTTGTAGCAGGTGTAACTGAAATACTGAGTAATGTACTGTATGGCGTGTGTTACTGTTGTGTTGAGGTAGGAATGGTATCCAATTTTTATCCTCTACAGTGTAGAGACTACACCATATTCCAACCCATATACAGCTCCACTTTTACAATAGAAATATAAATCAAATTAATTAATACCTAAAAGTTGCCCTATCTTTGATGCACTTGATAAACTATTAGTAAATATTCATCATTTGCTCCAAGTTGACATGGCACAGTGTTACCATATAGGATGAGACTAGAGAAAGTCTACAGGTGAGATGTCAGGGTCCATTAAGAGTTACGTGCCAGTAGCTGGATAGTGTTGTGTTTAGGTCTGGGTGAGATTAAGATGGGTAAAGTCATGTGTTTTTGAGGAAGGAGGTTAGGCTACTCATTAAGTAACCTGGTGCTGGTGGCATGTAGCAGCTAGAAGGTGGCTAGTTAGGTCCCACAGTCTGCCTCCCATGTGACCACCTCCATGGTCTATGTGGTGATGGAGCATTTGTGCAAGCTCACAATCTGGATGTACATAAATGTGTGAGTGTGTGCATATAAGAATGTTTGTGTTTATAGGAGTGTACATGCTTATAAGTGTTTGTGCAAAAGACTGCATGTGTGTAAGATTAGGTGAATATATCTCTAATGTACAGTATGTGTATTTATACAGTACATTTGTATATTGTAGTGTGTATGATTAAGTGTAGATGAGGTTGTAATTGAGTTGATGCAAATATGTGTGTGTATCCAAATGAGTGTGTGTGCTTGTATGAATATTGTTGTAAAGCAGTACAGTTTGTGTGTTTTAAGACTTTTTGTGCAAATCTGTCAGTGTGTGTACAATGTACATGTGTGTTATGTATGTATGAGTATTTGTGTGTGTTGTTTGGTATACAGTATTTGTAATGGGAGATGTCAACTGCTACTCACCACTGTCAAGCAGCCATCCATTATGCAGGACATGAGACCACCACCACAGGTTGCCTTCTCTGACTATTGCCCCACCACATCACATGGCATCTCTCAATCCACTACCCATGGACTCATGTTTGTTTTCCTTGACAGTGAATCACAATCTTGTATGTAGGATGTATTACTGAGGGTATACTGTAATTGTTGCGAAGTGAATGTGTAGTTAAGAAGTCTCACTATAATTTCAGTGCTATTTTGGGACATTATTTTTGTGCTTTAGCCGAAGTTAAACATCTAATCATATTTTATATCCTTAATTATGAAGAATATTCACCATATTACCCTTTACACATCTAATATTTGGTGTAGCTTTACTGAACTTTGGAGTTCTTTCTGATTTAAGCCGAATTTTAATTTTTTTCTTCAAATTTTGCAGATTATTTAGCACCTTAGGCCATTTGATTGAATTGTAAGCATTGCTCTGGTCAACTGCCTAATGTCTCTGGCCAGTGTGTGCTTTGTGATTGATGAAATATGGTGTCACCCACAAAAATAATGTCCTTTTTGAATTGGTATGATATCAAACAAGGAATTTTGGCTATTACTGTATGTATATACATACAAACTAAAAGGTGAGCTTGACAAGGAGTTGGGGGTATTTCACTAGCTGCTTAGTGTAAAGAATCTGGAAATCAACACCTGTCTGATTCATGAATACATCACAGAACCCATAGTGTGTTAACCTTTTGACATTAAACACTTTACTGTATTCAGAAATTGGCAATAATATTCATATACTGTACTGTACTACTGTACTTTAAAAAAAAGTTATATCAGAAAACTGTTTTCATCCCAAGTTCCATTGTGGAATGGTGTTATAACTGTACCTGTTAATACCACCAGGCCATAACATCTCCTCTACCAGGGCCCCCCAGGCCTTCATGTGCAATATTATTAAACTGGAATTTACAGCTAAATCCCCAGCCAACTTTTGGCTTGATAATTATTAATTGAATGATTAAAAAATGAATTTGTCACCATGTTCCCATATTTTAGATTAATGGAGCTACTGTGTACTGCATAACATTTACAGTACAGTCAGCCCTTTTCCAATGCATATTCCTCCAATGTAGATTCGCTTATAAAGTACTGTATATGCAAAAATAATTGCAACCAATTATTTGCTGAATGCAGAAAATTTTAGTATACTGTACAGTATGTGGTACAATGTGTGTGCTCTTGTACTTTCTAGATCTGTCACCTTCCCCTCATTGTGTCTCACACTTGCACTCCTGCTCTCTCCCTCTCGTGTATGCTGTAGTCACACTAATCTATTTTGTCTCGAGTATATAAAAGATTTTGTGTGTACGTAATAATCAGGGAATCTACTCTGCTGTGTTCACCCAATCCTATTAGTTCCTCCAATGTGGATTTGCTAAATACGACGTTTTCGAGCAACCTAACCCCAGCGTTGGAGAATGGCTTACAATAATTAAAAATTAAAATTCCACAATTACAAAGGATAAAATGGTAATCTGTGTAGTATATCAGACCCACAAGAATGCAAGACATGTGTCTGGTGAATTTCTGTTGTGTAAGTGCAGCAAGTGACCCTATGTCATCCTTCCCCTTGTACTGGTGTTGTGATTTGAGATCAGAATGAATAATGACCTCTGAAATTACTGCATTTCCTGGGTGGAAGTTTCTGTATACAGTAATATGTCTGGTATATGCTTCTTGGCCATCACTAGCATGTGTTGTTTATTTTATATTCTAGTCTCCATTTTATTATTTATTTATTCAATCAGTTAGGGGATTTTGTTTCCTATGTTTTTGGCAAGTTTGTGTGGTCTAGTATGAATAGAATAATTTTTTATTTTTTGTTATGTCAATTGTCAGGTTGTAATGAGGTTCAAAAGTGCTCCAAGCTACAGGACCAAGTTGTGTATCAGTTGGCTCATTCACCTCATAATAGCCAAGGGATAAAGCGACTCATCAAGGGAGTGGGATATACCTGTACTGTACTGCCAACTTGTCTATCCTATGATGATGATGACACTCGCCCATCACAATTATCCTATACTTGTACTCCAGTAACAGGCTTTTAAAGAGCTACAAGGGAAACATGGCTATGAGATATGAGCTGAAATATGAGTACTATACAGTAGTATATTTTTATGTCGGTATTCTATTTGTGTTTGAGTTAGAATGAAATGTAAACATAATGTAAATACAGTACTGTAAACTGAATGACTTATGACACTAATTCAGATACAATGTACCAACTGTAACATACAGGTATTTGTTCTTAATTTGTTCATGGATGAAGATTGTTACTCACTTTATAGAAAAGGAATAATTAAACATTTTAATACAGTATCTATATTTATAGATACAATATGTGAAGTACAGTACTGTACTGGTATCTGTTTAATACAGTAAACTCTCGAAGATTCGGACCCGGGAAATCCGGATTTCGGAAGATCTGGACAAAAATTTTGGGGGTTCCGGGCTAAGAAGCCTCCTAGAAATTTCCCCAAGAAACATTCCCAAACCAGAGCAAAGAACATTTTAGGCCCGTGGGCGCTGCTTGACCCATCAGTTGCTTGGACACAGGTGCCTGAGGAGGTGGGAAACATAAACACAGTTGACAATTGTAGCTTGTGGGAATATTATTTCATTCACTCTAGTAATGCTACAATGTTTCTTATTATGTCATCATAGGTAAATACATGGTTTACATACGGTAATTTGTTTAGCACTACAATAGTACTGTATTTTTGTTTTTCTTACATCATTTATTATTCGCCGAAAATCCGGACAATCAGCTTTTCCGGATAGGTGGTCCCCCCCTTAGTCTGGATCTTCGAGGGTTCATTGTAATATATTGTTGGATATACTTTATGGTCAGTACTAGTCATTTACTAATGAAAATTGATAACCTTATTTTTAATTATATGCATAAATTTCATATCTTGGGAACACAACTGTAACCACAGGAACTGCCTTGTTACAAAAATTTTGATTTAGAGATACTGTATTTATATTTTTTTAAATGTCAACAATTGAATGTTATGACATCTCTATTACAGTACCTGTACATGATAAGCTTTGTAATAGTTTTGAGAAACATTTGTAATTAATCCTTATTGAAATACCTTTTGCTTGTACTGTATAGTCACTGAAAAAGGTCCTCTCAGTCCTCCGTCTCACCCCATGAACCCTGAGACTCATAAACCTATGAATCCAAGACATCACATAAATGACACACTGAGCCTAACAGTGTCTGGTGTCTCTGATTCACGAGTCTCGGAGTTCATGGATGGGACAGGACTTATATCCGTGACTACATTTTGTTTTTTTTGCAGACTTAATCTCTTGTTAATACAGTACTGTGTATGTATACAGATATGCCTATCAGTGTATGTACAGTATATCTATATGCTTACATATGTATTTATACTTACACAAAAGCTGTATATCATAATGGCTGTGATCTACCTCATATAAGAGTTTTGGCTTTATTGGATACGATAGTTTTTCCTTTTTTTTTCATATTATTGATGAAAACTAGTTATTACAGAGATGGCAAAAAAATTAAAATGTCTTGTATTAATATTGTCATTAAATACATGAAAACATTTCTGGGAAGTGATATAAAGGACGTGAAGGGGGGGACTTTATTTTATAAATTCTTTTTATTTTTATCAGGTGAGAGGTTAATACGATCTTAGTCAACTTAAAGTATTAGATCTATCAGCTACTCATATCATATTTTAACTTCTGATTTATCTTCAGAGCGAGAAATAACTTGTAAAGTTACATCACACATTAAAGTCCAGTAAACATAAGTGTAATCGAACAAGATAAAAATGCATATCCTAAGCGAGTGTTGCATTACAAGTTGATCCAAGAGCACTGCCAGGTGAAATATGATGCTTTACTTCTATTTTTCACTTGTAAAATTAGTTAAATATGATAAAATCATCACCTCTGGTTCATTCCTCCACCCTCACACATGTATATCTTGAAGGTAAAAATGTGCTGAGTGTTTTAGCTTTAAAGCACAAATGCATTTTTCTTTATTGTGCGTCTGCATAACACATGTATGGTATCTTTGTGTGCCAAAGCAGGCTTAGAATTTATGTACACTGTCTTCCTATGTATGGGCAGCTTCCTACTTACATGCATTATCTATATACAGTATTGGGTATCGGTTAATAAAGCATGGTTTGAAAAGTACCGTATACTAAAATAAAAAATTCTGCATTCACAATGAAATACTTAACAAATGTTTCAGGTCCAAAATTATTACATGGACTAAGAAATGACAGTCATCTTCCTCAGTTAAAATTTTTGGTTAATTGTCTTGGTGTATTGGTGTCCCAAAGGGTTTAGTGTGAACAAAGTATTGAATCTCAAATTTTCCTGTAACCTTCACCATACAGTACATTGCTTTACACAAAGAACGAGAACTTGTTTTAGTGTATGGATTGCACATATATTCTGTTAATATACCTTCATTACAGCAATTGAGACACTGCATTTAGGAAAGGCAAAGATTTTTGTTATAAAAGAGGTGTTAATAGTAATACAGTAATATAATAATGAGTATGGAGTACAGTAATAACTGTTCTGTTTATCTTTTTAACCTGTGCACATCCTCCATAAGCACTTGTAAATAAAGCTATTCAGATTAGGTAACTTTCTAAAATTTTCTGGTATGAATTAATGTAAAGTCTATTTTATTAGTTCATCTTTGTTACACTACAAAAAATATGTAACTAAACAAACTTAAATGACCTTGAGTAAAAAAATATTGCAATCTAAAATTGTCATGTATGGTATAGTATCCCCAAAAAGTATCGGCCAGGAGGGGTCCGATGACTTCTGAAATGTTACATGCAACTCGTGATGTCCCGGGAGGGTTGGTATCTGTGGCATACTGATCCTACTACATTTGGTAACTGAACATCATATTAATTATACTAAAATAAATACACATTGCATTGCTTATGTTAACCTATATACCAGAGTAAATGCATGTCCCAATATCTATCATCTGTGGTCCCATAATGTTTCACACAGTGTGTGGACAGATACTTTTTGGGGATATCCTGTACTGTACAAAGGACTCAAATTTAAGTTTCGTAGATCCAGTTGGAGTGGGCTTGATCTTGATTTATTTTCTGCAGTTCATTTTCTGGAGAGCTTTTTAACATTTGGCTTTCACAGGTTTTTAACACTAGTTGCAACAAAAGTTTGAAGTTTGAAGAGTATATTTGCAGAATATTTTTTTCTCCTAATATACGTATGTAGTTTACCAGTGTGCACTGGTAAAGACTACAGGTAATGAGGTTAAAATAGTTACCTGTTAACAAAGATCCTTTAACACTCTTTTCAGAAAATAAATTTGAATAAAGGTATACAGTATCTTGGTTATTGTAGTTGATTTATTAGAAAGAAAGTAGTTAAGTGAATCTACATTTAGTGAAATATTTTTTTTTATTGACATTCATATTGACAAAAAGTGACCCTATAATTGATCAATGAATTCACTATATCTGTGCAGTAAAAAATATTTACAAAATAATAAATTAAATGTATCTAACTAGAGATAGGAATGAAGAGACAACATACATGATGGAGTTGGGGGGAGAGTTGAATGTCTACTGGGCTGCAGGCTAACCAGTTTCATGCCATGTTAATATACTGTAGCTACATTATATGAATGTTCCCTAACTTATTAATTATGTTACAATGAAACTATGCAAAGGGAAGGTACATAAAGCAAGGGATACCTATACAATAATCTAAGCTTTCTTACCAAGATCTAGTGCCTAGAGCCAGTCTAATATCATGATTCTGGTTGCAATCAGGTTTAGAAATTGCTATCTCAATATAAATTTAAAGAAGCCATACAGAATCTTGATTAAACCTTGGTAACTAAATAAAAAAAAAATTGCTTGCATAGAGAATTGTACAGTACAGGGGTTACCGACTTAACGAATGTCTGACTTACATACGCCTGCTGATACGAACGGGGTTAAACTTGAAATTTACAGGATTTTATTGACCCGATGACCTTTTTTATTTTCATTTACTGAATTTTGTCATACTATTTCTTTTGTCTTAAATTAAGTGATTTTTTATGTATATAAAGACACGTTCAAATTCAACTTAAGAATTTCCTCAGAAATAGAACCTGTTCGTAACCCCGGTGACCCCCCTGCACTGTACGTGTGTAATTGCTAATTATACAATAATAAACCTTTCACCTATTTTTCATTTTGGAGTGAAATTATTTATATGAATGTGAAAAAGTATAAAACTTCAGATGTAATAAGTGAAACACAGTTTTGTTTGCAAGTAATTAAATTAATTACCTTCAGTAATGTAACAAGTGGAACACAGCTTTGTTTGCAAGTAAGTTATTTACCTTGGGGAAAAAAATATCATACAACTGATTCCAACACTTATCCATCCAATTTCATAACAAAATTAGTAGTTGAAGGTTTTTTGAAAATCAATCAATTTTATGTTTTAGTATTAGATACTTACTAGTAACAATATATGTAATTCAAAAGTTTCTCTCCTCAAGAAGTGGAAGAAGCTGTTATAGTGCACTAATTTTATAATTAAAAAAAAGAAAGATTAATAATAAGTGGTGGTAATGTAATAATTATATTTAATTTAAAATTACTTTTTTTAATTGATCTGTTTAAATAACTTAATGGTATATATACAGTATATGTGGGATTTAACAATTCATGTGTTTATTTTGATTTGTGTTAATGTTGGGAATGCACAAAGATTACCGTCTTAATGAATATATATGTAGCATGATCTCATGCTTGTAATGAAATGGTTGTATGGTCTTCAGGCTGGTTCATTGTAGCGCTCCAGAACAAATTTTTCATGGTAAAACTTTTTTTTTTGTTTAGTCAAGAAATCACTCATTTGGAAGTCAGTTACATGAAAGTTCTGCCTATATCCCAAATATGGTATCTAGGTATAGAGCAGGAGTAATTCTTTACATCATGATCTTGGCTTCCTCCTCCTTCCACAGACTGTCTTAGGACCTTGACTTATTTGGTCTATTTCCTACTGTTTGGAAGCCACAGAAATGGTAGAAAGAATGGGAGTACTGTACCAGTTTATGCTATTAACATTTTGAGGTTATGTGATTTTTAATAAACACTTGCACTAATATATTTATGCAAGAAAACTTTGGTTGTGATGAAATGCAGTGCTAAGTTTTAAGTGGTTATGTATCCATGATTAAGATATCAAGAACTGCATATATCGCTGTCTTGCTTACACATATCATTCTTATGTATTGTATTTTTTATTAAACTCACTTAGCCTCAAGTTGTACTAAAAATATAGTCATTGTCTACATACAGTCAGTATTTGTATAAAGCTTTCACTTATTTGTAAACAATGCATTTCTAAATTATTTTATTATTTATGTACCTGGTACTACAGACTGTTATTACAGAATTACTTGAAATCTGTTTTACTGTACTGTATACAGTACAGGTAATTATGTGGCATTTGAGTTATGGAGAATGCGAGAAATTCATCCCACATAAATTTTACTAAGTCTGGTTTTGTTGATTCATATGACATTTTTAGAAAACTAAACATAAAAGAATGAAATATTGAACTTAAATTGATTTACAGTATAGGCAAGACAAATACTATAGATATTTCTAGTGAAAAAGCTGCTGCTTAAATTGCTCTTGTATTAAAGAAAATTTGGGATGTGTGTGTTTTATTGAAAAATACTTTTTCAAAGGTTATTAGTTATGTTTCTCTCCGATTTACTCTATAAAACATTTGATTTTGATGGGTAATAATGTAATTCCCAAACAAATAGGTATGAAAAAATATATTCATGGAAACTATCTGTAACAAGTTTATATACAGTAATCTGATTGTTAAGTTCATACAGTACTGCATTCTAAAAACTTTATATATATATATAAAAATAATGGTGCAGTCATATTGTTATTGTGATGCTCGTAGTACTCTGGACAATCTTGTAACCACAGTGAAACTTTACCTAGATACAAATGTAATCCAAAGGAAATAACGATATATTGTATATATTATTTTAAAATGAACAGGTATGATTTTCATTGTGGAAGATTACAATAGTCCTAATGTGTTGCCTTACCTCGCTCATCCTAAGAAAGGATAGTGATATTTTTGTATGCAAACATTCTGGTCGTGTATTTTACAGGTGAACAGGTCACAGGTCGACACCAAGATGGGTCACCTTGGGGATCTGATTAGTCATTGCTGGAATCAGTGTGTGGGCTCTCCAGATGAGAGACGCATTGAACCAGTTTAATTAACTTAGGGATAGAGTATATGTTATACAGATCAACTGTTGGTGCTTCATCATTCAGGAGACAATCTCGACTACTTCTGGCTCTAAATCAAATGTACATGACAGTGTTTCAAATATCCATTACTATGGATACCATAGCACCTAATAGTTATCTTATTGGTTTGTGAGGTAGTTTTGGGTTTATGAAAATATCAGATTCTTCAAACCCTTTGTTTTCATTGAAAAATTTATTTAAAGTTATGTTGTACTGTATATGCATTAGATAGATAAATCAATTACAAAATATTAGCAAGAAACTACCCCAAATTATAAAGTATATGGTAAATTTGTAACTAAATTTTCAATTTCAGGGATAAGAATTTTTTTGATGCAATAAAATGTTGATCTTTTCAGTAATTTTTTCTCAATCCTACTATTTGGACCTTGGGATCACTTGATTAATGATACAATCATATGAAAAGTATAATCCTTTATTTTAGACACCATGAAACTCAAGACGGTGGAATGCACTGGTTCCTGAAAAACAAAATTACTTTTATTCAGCTGCACAACTTTTCATCTTCATACTAATAAATGTTGCTAAGAAACAACCAAAATGGGATTCAATTTAGACTCATAAATAGTGTGCTATATTAAGCCTTTCAAAAGGCACAGCATGCCCCTACAATTTGTAGCCTATTATATGCTGATGACACCCTGGATGTATCCAAGAATGTCCACGGGTAAATTTAAAGTTGGCGTCATTTTCGTGCACGGGGAGCCAGATGTGGTGAACGACTGCTGGCTTCCCCCACAGTCAACCAGGATGTGCAGCACATCGTCCAGCTTGCTCGTCAAGTGGGAGGTGAGGGGTTCACCAACCCTCAGGAGGAAGAGGTGCAAGAAGAACTCCTGGGTCACGCTGAGGAAGAGCTGGCACTCATGGACATGTTTTTCGAGATCGATCCCTCTATCGAGAGATCAGTCAACTTCAAGAGAGGGCTGGAGAAGCTCCTGCTTCCTTACAGGGAAATAATGAAGGAACTCACACACCAGGTAGCCCAGCCTCCAATCACCATGTTCTTCGTGCCTTATTCCACTCCAAGTCCTACACCTTTTACAACTGCAAGAGAGCCTCCTGTTCGTGCACCTCTTCCTCCTAACTCTGATTCCAACATGGACGACCACCCTCCTGCAGCCCCAAGCTCCGACCTCCCTACGCTCTCCTCTTCTGAAGCAGATGAGCACTTATAACTCCCCTGCCTTCATCATCAGTCATCATTTTCATCATGATATCCATTAGTGGCAGGGGAGAGGGTAACGTGCTATACAACATGGAATGGTGAGCGTTAATCTATTTTTTATAACAGAGTTGTCAATCGTTGTTTGTGGGAATATTAATTCATTCACTAGTAATGATACTATGTTATTGTCAGAAAATGCATGGTTTATATAATTTGTTTATCACTAAGCCTGTCACCAAAGGGAGCAATAAGGGGAGTGACTGCTTGCTTTTGTTATTTAGGGTTGTCTGCTGTTAAACTCTCCTCAATCCCTGCCATATTTCATTGGATTTACCGATAAATTAGTGATTAATCATGGCAGTATTACACCGCAATTACCGACATTCTTCATGTTGGGTTTGCTAGATGGCTACAAAATTAATTCTGTAAGTTTGATCTACGTATCAACCCAGCTGGCACTCAAATGCCATTCGTTCTTGACTAATTTTAGGAAAAAATTGTCATATGGCAACCCAACTTTAATAACAAAGCACGGAGTTGACTTGAGGGTAGACTCGCGTTTTTCTACATTTCAATATATTTTGTGTCTTGTTTCCAATTGCAAGAGGATTTTCCCATTATTATTTATTTGTAACCACACACACAATACGTACTGGTAAAAGAAATAATTGTCCTAAGGGCAAACACAAAGGGAATATATATTTCTTTGCACACGAGTTAGCTGGCAGGCTCAGTGGGGGAGCAGGAGGAGGCCAAAAGTGTGTGTGTGTGTGTGGGGGGGGAAGGGGGGGCGTTACCAGGGAATTGGCATCGTGTGCGTGTGTGGGGGGAGCATTACTAGGGAATTGGCGTCGTGTGTGTGGGGGGGAGCATCACTAGGGAATTGGCGTCTTTGTGTGTGTGTGGGAGGGAGCATTCAGTGCCGGATTTAGACCTGTGGAGGCCCATGGGCAGCCTCTTTGTGGAGGTCCCCCTCATTATAACTACCCAAGAGGGTGGGGTGGCGAGTGAAGCGAGCCTAAACATCTGGGAGTTCCGGGCGACGCTGTAAGCCCCCCTGGGAAAATTTTGAAATTTGAACACTTCTTTGGAGAATTTTGAAGCCGTATGCAGTTATATTGAGGAAATTAGAACATTGAGAAATTTTTAATTAACTGTATATTTATTGAGTGTACAAATTCCCAACACACACACACAAAAGTGAGACATGACTGGAGTCATTCATGTGGTCTCAAGTCGACCAGCCCTGATATAGCTACTACCGCACATGTCAAAAATTTTCAAGAGACTTCACAGAAAAGAATATATTAGTTATTACAGAGAGATGATTCTTTGCATTATTAATCAGATAAACCTCTACTCAAATAATGGTTCTGTCCAAGAATGCATGTATAGGCTTCTTTAAATCCAAGGTCAGGTAGATTCAGAATAAGTATTAACTCAACTATAAATAAAATTGAAGTTTTGCATCCAATAGTAAAACATTTGCAAGACATGTTCTAGGAAATGACAACTGACAAGATCATTCATCACTGAGCGGCAACGACTTCACTCAATAAGCACACGACAATTCTCTCTCTCATTTTACATCTGCAAGACATGTTTATGTCTACTCGTGGGAAGTTCACGAATCATGGGCGATGCAAGTCTCCTCTTTAATCGACAGACACATGACAACCGATGTGCAGATACTACATGACCCAACCCCCTCCGACCGACTGTCAACAAACACAGCGCCCTGATGGCATTCGTAATGGTAGTGATAATGAAAAAATATTTTATTTGTTTTTTTTAATCTCAATTTCGTTATTCCATGTAGTTCAGTTTTAATCAATATATGTTTGTGGAATTCTAAATATATTATTAGCAACACAAACAATAGCATTCATTAAAAATATACGGTTCATAGGAAAACTAGGTATTCATGAATTTCAAGGAGTAGCTAGCCTAATTTCTATCACGCTTCTTGCTGAACATAGTTTTACGTGATGGAATAGATAAACATGAATTTTAAAGAATGAAAATAAAAATAATCCAAATGAATAAACAAATAAATAAAATATTGTAATATGTGGAGGCCCCTGGGCAGCTGCCCACTTTGAACCACTCCTGAATCCGGCCCTGGGAGCATTACTAGGGAATTGGCATCGGTGGGGGGCTAGGGAATTGGCGTCGTGGTGGGGGAGCATAGGGAATTGGGTGGGAGCGCATTAGGAATTGGCATCGTGTGTGTGTAGGGGGAGCGCATTAGGAATTGTGTGTAGGGGGGGAGCGTTACTAGGGAATTGGCGTCGTGTGTGTGGAGGGGTGTTATTAGGGAATCGACATCGTGTGTGGGGGGAGCAGGAGGAGGCGAAAAGTGTGTGTGTGTGGGGGAGCGTTGCTAAGGAATCGGCATCCCAGCTGACTTCGTTACTATGGGGAAGCAGTGAGTGTACACAAATGGTAACTGTGTTAAACTTTCAATTTGCTTTTATTTTCTGATTTGGCAATACAGTATTTATTGTTGATAAGTTATTATTATTATTTTTATTTATTCATCACTTCCTGGTACTGTATATATTATTTGAAAACAACTATGGCTACAGGAGAAAAATACACACAAAAGTGTGTTCCTAAATAGTCCCCTGCTAAAATGGGGGATGCCTCTTAGAGGGTATATGCCATAAAATATGGTACTGTATTTATTATTATTTTTTTTATCATTATTCACCGTTTTTATACATTTAGTAGATTCGCCGGAAGATACGGACAATCGGCTTTTTCGGACAGGTGGTTTGAGAAATGATGTAATGCGCATTTTCTGGAACTTCCACGAAAATTTTTCCGTTACCTGGAAAATTCCAAGGATGAGGTTTTTTGGTCGGCTTTGAGTCGCCTTGTTAGCCGGAAATCTCTCATTCCCAGAAGTGCTCTGCACCAATTGTTCCAGCTAACAGACATCGCTGTATAATGGCAACACAACATCTACGAAAATCTCAATAATTGTGTAAGCTTGCCTGTGAGGTAACCTTTGACTTAAGTTAAATTTGAAAAAAATTACAATGGAAAAGATGAAGTCTTACATTTTTCTCTAGTGTCAGTGCATACAGTAAACCCTTTCAATAATGGGCATTTCCAATAATCAACAACTTTTTTCTGGATATTTGAGAAACCTGGTTAGACCCGGGCCCCAATGTGTTAAAACACCCTAATATTTCCTCTAAGCACTATTAATAATTTAATATACTGTACTGTACATTATTTGATAAATATTTTCAATTTAAACCCAAGTACAATCGGATAGGCAGAAAGTGCCTTACCTTGAAGGTGACACGACACAGTTCAACTGGGCAGTCACCCAGCATAACTGGGTGGCTAATCGACTACACAGTTATAGCCCACTGTTCCAACACATGTTCATTTTTCTTATTTTATAGTTTTGTACTTTCTTTTCTTTACTTCTAAGCCACATTAGAGTACAGTATTATACTGATTTTTCCACAACCGAATTCACGTTTGGTGGATTAATGATAAATGAGGGATAGCTGTAATGTCTTAAGCAATTTTTTCCTCAAAATAACCTTAATTATATTATGGTGCATCTTAATGGCTGAAGCATGTTATGGGCCGGGAAATCCAATTCTTTTCATAATTCTTATTTTATAGTTTTATATTATCCTGTATTTTCTTCAGTTTTAAGTCACATTAGAGCATTGAAGCAGCATTCATATTATATTTTCTTTACTTCCAAGGCAAATTAAACGATTGAAATAATATTTCCAAAACTATTATGGTTTCTTATGTAAACAAATTCTGGGGCAGTCAGCGCTTGGCTGCAAATTATGATTATGTGACCCCAAAATTATAAAAGACATTGTAATAGAGGTACAGCACTCTCAAATTTGTATTTTGTGAATTATTGAGACTCCACTGTACAATGTATGGGAAAAACAGGATTGATCCTGAAAATCTTTTTTCTGGCAGAGCCAATAGCTAGGAGGCATACTGAGAGGTTGTCTGAAGGACAGACTCCCAATAATGCCAAATAATGTCACTTTGTTAATCCATTCTGGATACACTAACCACCATTCTCTCCCTATCACACCAAGACCCTCATGGGACAGTGGTATGATGGTATCCTAGGGGCTATAGGTCTGATTAGACTATGTCTGACAAAGCAGCAT